ACAATGTGTTCAATATGAATGACTATCATTCCACCTGCATTACGTAGTGAACGTTTCATTTATAATAAAATCTATAAGATGTGACTATAGGTATGTAGCTTTAATTGTGTTCCATTCACAAAATCATGTTATACCTTTGGTGTGACGAATAACTATGTTGTAGCGCCCTCTAGTGGCATATATTAAACACTCGCAAACCAGTGAATTGTCAAACAGGCTCTCTGTCTCCTTGAATGACGTTGGAGACGATAATAAATAATGATGATACGCGAGTGTTTATTAAATATCAGCAGTTGACCATAGAAAACTCGAGGGGTAGTAAATTATGCAGAGAGAATAAATTGAAAAAAAAAACTTGGACATAAAAAAAAAATAACGGAAACGTAGTATTAAAAAGTTTGATAAGGAAATGACAACATTTTTACGGCAACATCTTGAAAAATATTCATGAGTGAAGAAAACAACTAATTTTGTGTTGTTTATAGTGGTCAACCCATAACGACGATTGTCCTGTCGGATTCGATAAGCGCCACGGAACTGATTGCGTGATGACCCGTTATCCTGCCCCACTTTACTTCACAATAACATGCACAGAACCACGAAAACAACAATATTGCCTTTGCGATGCAAGATTTATTCTTGCTTGACGTGTATATAGCGTTTAACTTTGTTGTTGTGTCGGTGAAAGAATGCTATCGATATGCTATCTTTGAATGTGGGTTGTTTCGTCTGGTTTACTGCCGTTGGTGTTTTGTCGCTTCACTTACATTAATCAAATTGTTTTGTTTTTGTTTGGTAGTAGCGTAATTATTTCGTCTCCAAATTCTCGTTTTTAACGCAACAACTTGAACGTCATTCTAAGGAAAAAATGGGTCGTTAGATATATCTGAGAACGTTTGATCATGGGGTATACACAATGATATAGTGAAATTTAAAAAAAAAAAAAAAGTTTAAACGAATGAATACAATTTTACTATTATTCAAATATCACATTGCCATTTTAGTTTATTTTAAAGTCCTGTGATCAGAGATTGGTCTACTACTAACGCAAATATCATTTCGTTCAAAACGATCCGATCCTATCGATGCGCAAATTTCAAACGCGCATATTCCGGTTCGGTTACTTCTCGGTAGAAACTTCATTGATACCAAATAGGTAAGGTTGAAGACCAGTGTATGTTGGTATCAAAATACCAACGTCACTTCCAACACGTTCACTTTAATGTAAATACTAAAGATGCGCGTTTAGAGACATTTCTAGAGGTAGCGGAGACCTTGCATATATTCTAACCGCCTCGGTGCGCCACGCCTCATTTCTTAGGTGAAATTCATCCGGAGGTGTATATTCAAGTAAATATTCAACTAAAAGTTCCATCGTATGAGTCATTTTTAAGTCAAAAATATCAAAGTTAGTGGAGTGTCTCCGAGGCGTGTGTTTGATCAATCGCCATATATTTACTATTATAAAAAAAAACGCAACCCAGTATATTATTATGATTTGACTGTTTTCGTCAAATTTGTTGTCGGACCTATGTGTAACAAAGACTATACATAGTCTACAAACTTGAACAACTTTAACCAGTGAGTATTGAACTTGCCACTTCAACAGATCAATAATTTACGACAATAGTTTAACTTAATGTTCGTAAAAGTTCTTTGCTGTCGTATATACCTTATGTATGTAGCGAAATGCGTCGTTCATATTTGTCTCACTTCTATTGAGTATCTACATGTTTCTTTAATCGTAGAACACAGACTGCAACATGTGCTTAAATACTTAAGAAATATATCACATTGTAATGTAGAATGTTCTTGCCATTTTTTTTTTTTTGAAGTCGCGCCCATTCTTCAACACGCCTACGTCACCATTCTCGTGGCGTTGCTCATGCACTAGCCTAATAGCGCCGCAGCTGCCTGGCCCACAACTGTCCGTATTCGAGTCACTAACCGCAATCCAAGTCTTTGTCTGCCACGGTGACATCTCCCAATAAAATGTTGAATCTGCTATAGTTGTTAAACAATACTTCATCATTGAAAAGTTCCGGATCCAGGACGGGCAGCTGCGCCCGTCCTACTAGGGTCTTGTCGGGCGCCGCGACTGAGTACGGTTTATTAAAATCGAGGGAGCTATTATCACTATTTGCCTGGGAGGAAACTGCGGTTAGCCTATCGGAAGTTTAGATTACAGTTTTTTCGCCGACAAGAGATGTACTTTAAAAGTTCGACAGTGATGATTCATACGGTTTTGTTTCTTCTTATTTTTGTTCACGTTTTCACAGATCGGGCGGGGGCGTAAACTACTTCTTTCTTTCTCTCAAAACTGAGTACGTTCCAAGTGGCACACCCTCTTTGTGTTCAATGGCATGCATTTCGGGAAAAACAAAACTGGGCGAGCATAAATTTTGCAAGCCGGGCGTATAGTTTTCCTCCCTGAAAATAATTCCCTCTTTTACTCACACATGATTAAAATAAAATATTTTCGCTAAAAGTGGTTCACAGTTAAAAGCGGTGATGCACAAGTTGAACTAGTTTGGAGTATACAAGTGTTATGTATGTTGGTCAATTTAATTTGAAATCTGGTGGGGAAAAAAGAAATAAAAAGAAATAACCTCCTTCCACTTTGAAACTACGCATCTCAGTTAAGACGGTCGACAACGCAACAAGCATATATACGAAAACTGATTCACCAATGTTAACGCATGTAAAATGCAACGTTAGTTTTGACCTACTTTTAACATCTAGGGATATTACATTGGTGTGATTGCACCAAGTTACGCAACACCCAGCGGAAACGTTGCCAACAGTCGAGGCACCGATCTGCCGTCTGACCACCAGCACAGCTCGGTCAGGGCCAGCACTGAAACGTGTTCTCGTGATGTAGACTGGCCTCGATGAATTCAGAAGTTTTTAATCAAACCATGTGAAGTTTACGGTACAGTTACACCGCCTGATGGATTAGCTACCCGTGTGTAAACAAAGGAACGGTATGCCAAGAATGCAATGTGACACAAACTGTGTATCGAAAGCGCTGGTTATCAAAATACCCTGGACCGGTCGGCCTGTGTGTGGGTGTTGTAATTTAACTTGAATCAAAATTGCTTCTTTCAACAAATCAGAGAAAAACAGCTCCCCAAGAATTGCGTAGGAGGGCATCTTTTGAATGCGCGTGACTCTCACATGACTGTGACATAACATGTTTTTTTCGAAATTCCGATGAGATGCGGTTTTTTCTGGTTCCGTAAGCCAACGCGAAACGTGTATGTTTTTTTGTATTGCCCCTACTTGACAGCGTGCAAACCGGAACCGCCACTCTGCTTTTGTGGGACTTCATTGCTGTCAAACATTTACGGAACTGTCACTATTCTTGATCCGCTTTTGTTAAAACTATTTTGATTGGCTTCCAACAGAAATGTATTACTCCATAGCCCAATCATGTAACGTGTAACAGAAGGCAACAACAAGTTGCGCAGAATTTTTTTCTGACGCCTAAGTGTCTAGAGCAGGCGGTACAAGGGCGGGGCTATTGGTGGGCGGGCCAAGTCTTTATCAATGAAGAAAGTGGCCACAGTGACAAATTGATGACTTATCATTAGCCTTCATCTAATTTGCGTGAAAATGAACGGCATCGGATGTAATTTATCGCACTGCCGATCACTTCCGACTTCAACATTGATACAAAGAAGTGTATATAATTCAGGATATAACTAGCGTTTCCAGCACGCGAATTTTTTGTTGTCCATCGCAAACATTGTCAAAATAGACATACATTCCAGGGGACGATGTATAGTGGAAAAAAATGGTACATTTCTGGCCTCTGTACACAATCGGTGTTGGCGTTTGCCATTCAGCGGCAGTAATCAAAGATGGCCAGCAGCGGGAGGTGAAGAACGTTGTTAATGAACTGACAACCATGTCAGTAGACGACTGTCCAAACCAATCAGAATTCAGGAAAATGAGAAATGGGCAGCCCCCGAGGTCACGTGATGTCAATATCGGCTTTTTGTACGTATCTCGGTATTGTGTTTATTTTGACAGGCCTATTCTATGTGTGGTAGCTTTGGAGAAACGTGAAGCCGTCCACCCACGGTGATACAGTTGGAATTCTCTCACCCGCATACGCACAATTTTCTAAAAAAAACGACCACGTGAAAAAAATTAAATCATTCATTGCCGACACTTCTTGTCAGGCTTTTCACGACCGCTTTGGACTCTTCATCTCCCACCGAATCATTCCGAGCAGCGCATTTTTTTCCGGTTGGACTTCAGTGATTTGAAGGGTTCGACCCGTCCTCTGCGATATCTACCTCCCTTTCCTTACTCAGTGGGACTCGGGCTTTCGCTGAAAACTGACTACTACTTCGTAGGATCATGAGCGACCGACGCAGCGTCGAACAACCAGAGGCACCGCCAGCGAAAAAGGGCCGGGGACGTCCGAGGAAGAGCGTCGAAAGCAAAGTGCGTACAACTTCATTACCTATAAAGTGTTATGGGTTTTGTTTAGATTCCTCGAGCCCAGCTGATCGACTGATTGAATCACACTAAAACTCGTGTGTACTGTTGTTTTGCAGCCACCAGATGAACCTGTCATAAAAAGGCCACGGGGAAGACCTCCGGGTAGCAAGAACAAAGTACAGAAACAGAAAAAGGTTAGAAATTATGAAATATACACCGACAGTTGTGTTTCGTCCCTTGCATGTGACGAGTGTTGCAGACGCCGCCGATTTAGGCGGGATTTTGTCATAATGTGATGTATACCCACGTACGCGATCGCTTAGCTCGACATCCTTTCGCCGAATGTGGCAGAGATATTATTTTACGCAGCAAATCACAAAATGAAAACGAAGGTTTCTAGTAGTTGTGCGTGCCAAACCCGAGGTGGCCATTCCGGGGTGGCCAGTGGGTTTTTGCCATGCTATATCTGTTGCGCCTCTGAAGTAGCGGCTGACTCCTACAACTACGAGGCCACGATGTGAGACTTCGATATTTGCTCTACAACTTACTTATTATAACATCATTGAGCTTCCTATGGGGCTAAAAGCGCTATGAGCAATACTTATCTTTGGTAACATCCCATCCCACACTTGCCACATGTTCTCCGCGTGTTAACGTTAAAAATACATGTATACCCGACTTCGCATTAGGTGTAACGTTTCCGCTCTTGATATCATATCGGAAGTTGGCGGTGGAGTCGCGTTGTAGCTCGGACGTTGTAGTAAAAAA